GTCAGGTTCGCCCGTGTGCCACAGTCCGTCGCAGCCCCACGTCAATCCCACACGCCCAACACCAGCTCGTTGGATCGCCTAACTTCCTACTCACCTGCAAACTCCTTCTCGTCAGCCGATCCTCCCAACCACGCTAACTCCAAAAAGTCATAGAGAGCGCATTAATCGTGCTTGCGAGATTTATAGCATGCATGCTTTGCGCGAGAAACTCGGGATCGTGTTCGGGTAGGAGGAAGAAGGAGGAAGGAAGTGCCTACGCCTGCATGGCCAGGCCGCGACGCGGGCGACGTTGCTACACTCCACGCACCGATCTGGTCATGCAATCGTTCGAGCCAATAAGATAGGGGAGAGGTATGCGCGCACAAAGGTGCCCCAAAAGATATCAAAAACGAGAGGAATACTTTTACAATTACGCCCACCAAACAAATATTACAATTACACATAAGACTAAGGCGCGGGAAAGTCAGAACACAGTTCCCATCGCGGCCGAGCGTGCGCAAGCAGAAAGCGCCGGGCAGCAGAAATTGAGATGTGCCCAAATTCCTATTATAAGTCCTAATTACAAAAATAAAAATCAGAACGAAGCAAATTCCGAGAGCCCGCGGGGGCTTGACATCAGTTTGAAAATTAAAAAAGATTACCCCGCACGACATTCGCGTCAAAATTCCCATTTCCCACAGCAAAACAAGAAAGAAGTTATGGCAACTGTTTATTCGTCGCGCTCGCTGAGGCGCGATCAACTGTCAACCGTCGTGGGTCCAGACCAGCCTTCAACCGAAAGAGACAAGAAAAAGCAGGGGCATAGCCTTGCGCAGAAATCCGCACGGTTGCAAATATTATCAGTTTGTCACAAGATAGCCGTAGCATCCCGGCGGTGCACAGAATACGGATCCACCCCAGACGACGGGACCAAAGAAGGCGACTGTCCCACTCTAACACAGGACCCCGTCCCTCGCCTACCCCCTTGCCTTCATATCCCTGAAACTTGGCACAGGCGATCTCAGTTCCTACCTGGGACTCCACCCCCACATTCCTAAAATCCTTGGCACACCCCCTTTTTCGCACTTCCAGGCCCACTCTCACTCCGAACAGGAAGTCGCGCTGGCCGTGTGGTTGGGCGTCACATACCATTAACGGCCGGGCAGGGTACCCCGGTAGCTGTGTTTTTCTTTGTGCATGTTTTTTTTCAGATGTTTACGTCAAAAAATCTGAGCACGAACACTTGCTAAAGTCGGCACACTCTCTTTTAACAGGCCTGGGCCTAAAGCGGACTGATCCTAAAATGCCGCAAATGCACTTTGACCAGTCGCCACCTAACAACCGCTGTATGTCCCCCTCCAAAGCCCTCCCCAAAAGTGTACACCCTTTGCACTAACACTTCCCACAGACGACCAACGTTGAGAAAACCTGCCTGCAGTGTGTAATGCATTCACAATGGACTGCTAAGTGGTGGAAACTTTAGCTACCCATCCCTACACCTCCTGTTGGATAGCACCACAGGGCCTGCGCTTGCACTTATCCACATACCCCTTCCACCTGCAGGGAATACTCCCTAACTGCACAGAAAAAGACCTGTAGTTGGTTAAGGCCTACCTCTTTCGTGTCTCACTTTGGTCCTCCTGAGGGGGACCCGCTGCAGCTAAAATCTGTGGCTGTCAGGGGTACTGGTTCTGGTGCGCCTGCCGTCTACTAATCGGTGAAGCACAGCAGACAGCAACGATTGAACATCTTGCTGGGCCTGAATGTTCTTGATACTGCATCTGCAGCTGTTAGGGTTGCAGCTAACCCTGCCCCTGCTGCAACTGCTGCCGCATCGGCTGCTGACTCTGTCCTTGAGGCAATTGAAGCAGTTACTGATCCTAGTGCTTCTGCGTGTTGAATAGCACTTGGCAAATGCCGAGGTTGCTGTTGTTGCAGCATCTGGGTCTGATTTTGTTTGCTGGTTTCAAACGGATCATCCTCTTGTGATATACCTCCATGTGATAGGCCGATTGTAATTCTGATTTCATACCGTCTATCACCAAGCCGAGTTCAGGTCTTAGGAGTTGCTGTATTTGCAGCTTAAGCAATTGCTGAAGCTGCTGCTGCAGAGGCTGCCACAGCTGTCTAAGCTAGATGTGCACTCTCTGCTGGAGCGAAAGTCCCAGCCTGAGTAGATACCACGTTAACATTTCATTTCAAGCTCCCTCTTTGCCACTTTCTTTTTAGTGGCAAATCCTTTTGTGTCACGATAGAGTTCCAAATAGTTCAAAGGGAGAAATTGTCTGGCACCCCTCAAATTTCCATTATTTTGCATCGCGCCCCTCCGAAAGCTCACTTACCCTTTCATGCCCCTGGGGCCTCTGAACTTTACTGCATGCCCCTGTCAGCAAGGGGTGCAGTGCCATTACTGGACGGCCCATCTCATTTCACCGGTCCCTGTGCAATATGCCCTCATGAGCAGCATACATCTTAGCATCATACCCTCGCACCAGAAATTCGAAATTGAATCACACGGTTTTTTGCCCCCCTGTGTCTGTGCGTGTGTGTGTGTGTGTGTGTGTGTGTGTGTGTGTGTGTGTGTGAGAGAGAGAGAGAGAGAGAGAGAGAGAGAGAGAGAGAGAGAGAGAGAGAGAGAGTGGCCGCCATGCACGTAGCCATAGAGGTGTGCTGACAGCATGCACCCTACCGATACGGTCATAAGGAAAATAACAGCTATCCGGTAGGGGCATACTGCAAATTTGGAGCGGGTACCAGTAGGGGCATACAAAACTATTTCAGGCCCACCTGACGCCGGGGTTTTATAGGAAATGTGAATCCTGGTCAGAGGGGCACTACATGGTAAGTGAGCCGTCGGAGGGGCGCAACGCAAAATAATGGAAATTACAGGGGCGCCAGACAAATTTTTCCCTGGTTCCAAACGGGCAAAAAAAGGACCCGAAGGGTCAAAACTAACGGCCGCCAAACCCGAAAGGATGTTGAAAGCACTGCGGGCTGTGGCCCATGCCGGGCGTCATAACTACAGAGCACACCGTGTCAGCCGGGGAAAGAAAACGAATGAAAAAGGGCCAACGGCAGCGTGGTACTTCCATTGCCCTTTCTCGACTTATGCGTGTCATCCTTTTGCGCGCAGTGCCCATGCTAATCTTCATTCTCTGTATCCTGGTAAGCTTCCAGAATGGTGGTTTATTCATGGATTTACTGTAAAACGCAAATTTAAAGAAAAGAAAAAATGAGGATATTAAAAGAAAATTTCTAAGTAAGGAAAAGAAAGAAATAGAGCCTTCTTCAAGTTTTATTATGGATCAAATTTCCAATTTTAACGGATGTCGAGTCCGTTCATGTTTTTTTTTGCCTTTCCAATTTAAATCATGCCACTGCCGCACTTGTTTCTTTTCTGTATCTCTTCCACCATTTTCATGACTACTTTTTGGACTACTTTTTCGGCTCCTTGGGCCCTTTCTTCGTGTTGTCAAAGTTGACATAACCCTCGTTAATATTCTTGAATTAGGGCCTTAAACTGTATTTGGACCCGATACATTCAGACTGATTGGAATGTATTTGGACCCGATACATTCAGCCTGATTGAACATTATTTTTATTTTATGTATGGTGTCATTTACCAGCTCCAGAGACGTTTAGGATGTTGTGCAGTGGATGGAGGCCCTTAATTACCTAATCTACCTTCCAAGGGCACAGGCACGCGCGGAGCTTCAAGACGAAATTTTTGACTTGCCCTTCGGTCAGCAACGTCGACAGTAGAGCTGCTCTAAGCATAGTCTAGAATATTCTTTAAGGCTTTCAGCATTAAATTTTTACTTTTTTCTTTCAACATTTTACTTCAGTAACTTTTTTCTTTCAACATTTTACTTTAGTAATAAACCACCTCTCGCTTCGACTGGCCGACGTCGACAGTGCTGCTGCTCTAAGCACAGCCTAGAATATTCTTGAAGACTTTAAGCATTTAGCTTTTTTTTTTAAACCCAACTCTAGCTTGGACCTCTTGTGCTCTTTGCTTCTTTCGCCATCTCTTGTTCGGTGGACATTATACATATCTGCTGAAGGAGGCGCCTGATGAAGGAACCACGATGACATCACATCGAACGTATGGGAGATAGGGAATCGTTCCAGTGCACTAGAAACCCAAACAGTACTAACATCTTACTTATGGCCCAGACGATGGAGAGTGGTGCAATTCTAGTGCAGCAGTGGAACAGAGGCCATCATTGCCATCACAAGCTCACTGACAGATGTGAATCACCTTCAAGTGAATCACCTTCAAGTTGAGAGTCAGTCAGATGGTAGTCAACTGTACGGAAATCGCAGGGACCCAGGGTCCCACCTGGGTGGTTCTTCACTCTGGACCGTAGATATAACCTACCTTCGTCCCCCGAATACAACGTACGGTCATTAAAGTTGCTGTATCTTGATTGAAAGATGCCTCAAATACAGCTATAATGACCGTGCGTAGTATTCGGGGTAAGAAGGTAGGAGGACGGAGATCAAACGGCCAGAAATGCAGAGTCCGGGCGAGCTGGACCTTGCCCAGAATGAACGAAAGACTTTGCTAACTTCTTCCCCCGAATACAACGTACGGTCATTATAGCTGTATTTAGGGTATAGCTGTACTTAGACTGAAAGATATCCTAAATACAGCTATAATAATGACCGTACGTTGTATTCGGGGGAACAAGGTAGATTGATCTGCAGAAAACAAAGGGAGAATGGGAAAAGGAACTAACTAGTAAAAAGACCCATCTGCAGGAAAATGACAAATTGAATACGAATAAGATATATTAACTTGATAAACTTGATAGAAAACAAAAATATCGAAACGATGCCAGTCTGAAAACACAAATACAAATTCAGGGGGATGAGGATATACGAGACACAATATAAAATTTAGTACTTTTCTCAACTTCTCTCACATATTTCAATCCAAAAAAAAAAAAAAAAAAAAAAAAAAAAATCGAAACGATGCCAGTCTGAAAACACACATTCAGGGGGAAGAGGATATACTAGACACAATATAAAATTTAGTACTTTTCTCAACTTCTCTCACATATTTCAACCTCGCTACATCGCATCGTAAATTGAAGTAGTCCATACTAAGTACTAATGTACACCTCTCACTGCTCTCAGCACGAATGAACGCAAGCAAGCACCCCCGTATACCTCACAGAATCCACCCTAGCAGTGCCAAAGCACCATACCGCATTCGACTCCGAAGGCTAATTTAACTAATTACTCAAGCTGAATTGCCACTCGGCAACCTATTAAGAAACCTTTTTTCAACGGAGAGAGGATTCAAAGGCAGGCTGCGAAAAAGAGAGCTCAAAAAATATCCAGGATTGCAGCACTGCTCTCTCTCTCTCTCTCTCTCTCTCTCTCTCTCTCTCTCTCTCTCTCTCTCTCTCTCTCTCTCTCTCTCTCTCTCTCTC